TTCCAAACGCTTTGGCCAAGCCAAAATCAGCAAGCTTCAAGACTCCATTCTCATCCAGCAGTAAATTATTGGGTTTCAGATCCTGAGAAAGAAACAATGATGATTTGATGTCCCAGATTCTTCATGATGTTTTTGGAATAAGTTTTAAAATTTTGAAGTTAAAAACGTTTTTATTTTAACCAAGGCTGCATATAAGCATTTGAAAAATGCAAAGGACAATGAATGTTATTTTAAACAATAGTTAATTATTTTAATATAGTTTAAACTGTCATTTATTCTTGTGCTTCAAATGGATTTACTGCACTATACTATAGGCTCATTCTAACTGCTGCTTAAGTAAAGATTCATCCTACCATTCATTTTGACCGTTAATAATTTAAAAAACAAACTACAAAGAACAGCAGTTTTTAAGTAACAAAAGGTACTTAAAATTATTTCAGGACAGAAACATTGGGAAGCTTTTTTTTTTTTTTTCACTGTAATGCATAACTGCTAAATAAAAATCCTATTCACCCGTATTGAACATAGTAAGTCACATAAATCATATATCTGTGATATAGGTCTCACCCTGTGCAGGATCCAGTGATTGTGCATGTATTCCAGACCCTGTAGTGTCATGAGGATGTATGCCTTTATATTGGCTGGTGTCAGTACGAGACTGGTGTCCTTTATGATTACCTGAAATACACAACACAAACAACAGTTTATGTGGGTGGGTGTGTGTGTGTGTGTGTGTGTGTGTGTATAAACCAAACAATTAAGATGGGTAAAAATCTAATTTAGCTGTGTTGACAAGCTCTTAACCGTTTTGCTATGTGAGGTTGGAAATTACTGAGATAAACAATATATGTCTAAGTTGATTACTGTGTCATCACCTCGAGATCTGTCTCCATGTAATCAAAGACCAGACTAATATTAGATTTGTGTCCAAAAGCATCCAGGAGCTGAAAGAGAAACCAGGTTCATAGATGTCAACATGAGTACACAATCAAAAACTGTACATCTGTGTATAATTAACGAATGTGCGCATGAACACAAACACACACACACAAACACTCACTCTGACTTACACCAATAATGTTTGGATGACTGAGCTCTTGCAACAACTTAATCTCTCGAAGAGCTGTTCTGTTGATGCCTGGATAACAAGATAAGTAAGATATTTTGTGTAAGACTTCACTTAATTACAATCAAAAATGAATAAAGATAAAAAAAAAAAGGAACACACCATCTTTAGCCTCTGTTCTGTGTCCCACTTTTATCTGCAAACAGGAAGCTTACATTTTAACATGACAGTCTGAATTAATTAATAAACAAAAAGCATAAAGCTGTCATAAAAACTCCATTATATACAGTACTTTCAGCCTTTTTCATGAATGATCTAACACACTTTGCGACTGAATTCTGATGATGAACAAACATATACACCTAATGATTACATCTATTGCACTAAAGACAACCAATCAAAAGATAACAGTTGTAATATGTTGAATGACGTTGTCTTGTTAGAAATATGTGCGTCAAATACTGTTTTTAAGTAACCTGGAGTTAGACACACACACACACACACACACACACACACACAAAAACAAGCAAATAACACCCTTATCTTTGTTACTAGACGTTTTTGTCTTCAATTATTATTTTTTTCTTTTTGAAAATTGGGTTGACACCACAAAACAATTCTTCTTAAGATAAAACATTGGTAACGTTATTGATATCGTCTATATCGTCTAAGACAATACATCTTAACCTATTACTTTTTATTTTACAGTCATTCACTAATTAATGTTGCTAATAAGTTTCAGTTAAAGAATATTCATTATTTTACAACATTATAACGATCAATAAGACACATACTGACCCGTAAAACTAAAAGAATATCTGCATTTTGAACGCATTATAAGTTATTAAGGCATGGTGGTTTGCCACAACATACGGATTAAATGCAGTCTCTTACCTTTTTGATAGCGACAATGGTGTTCGTGGTTTTGTCTCTTGCCTTGTAAACAGTAGCAAACTGCAGTGAAATAATACACAATGCATGAGTGAAATCGAATGTTGTACTGCTTCATGACTTGACATATTATGAGATCTAGTCGTTTACCTGTCCTTCACCCAAAAAGTCCAGCTTTTCATAACGCTTTGCCCTTGACTTTACATCTAATGCCATGTTTTTCAACTGTAAACTTGTTCTTTGTGAAAGCACACTTCCTTCTGCGTTAAAGAGCACTGTATACTTCCGGGTAAAATAAAAGTCCCATAAGATGAAAAAACGTCCGTAAAAATAATAATAATAACATTTGTATTTGCAAGATGTAGTCTTTTAAAATGCACAAAATATGTTTATTATTGCTAAATAATTCTTTGATCGCCAAAAGATCTGTTACATGTGTGTATCTTGCTAAAATCTTAATTTATTTTATTTTTATGTAATATTTTTGATTACGTTTAAAATTATTTGCTTATTTGATTAATGTCAAATGGTTGCTTTCATGGAATCGAAAGTTGTACCGTCATTTCGTGTCAAACCCTGGTCAAACCATTCAGAAACATCCTGGCTTGTATGTATGAATTGTATGTATGTATGTATGTATGTATGTATGTATGTATGCATGTATGATTTATACAACACCGTTAGTATCTAAGCAATTGATAATATTAGTTAATTATACATTTAAGGTTAGAGGTAAGTTTTAGGGTCAGGTTTTGTACCAAGCAGAGCTGCCAACTTTTGGTTTTAGTGAGAATTTTTGCCCCGCCCTTACGACTCAATGTACACACACACACACACGCACGCACGCACACACACACACACACACACACACACACACACACACACACACACACACACATATATATATATATATATATATATATATATATATATATATATATATATATATTTAATAACAACAATAATTCCTTACATTTATATAGCGCTTTTCTTGGCACTTAAAGCGCTTTACACATAGGGGGAATCTCCTCATCCACTTTTTTTTTTCAAGAAAGAACATTACAAAGATATAATATAAACAAAGACAAAGAGGGTTACATAAATAGAATTCCAGCAAATTAAACAAGTTTAAATGATTTACACCAAGAAAGCGTTTCATGATTAACATGTTAACACGGGTCCATAACCACAGCAAAGCATGTTTTGACTGACAAAGATCTTAAAACAGACCACTTCATTTGTGGATCTGAGTAACGATAGCTCAGTTAGATAAGTTGATGTGTGCGCTGAACCTTTTCACTACACGGGTTACTACGGAACCCCCGGAAGGGACGTAGTGGGGGAGAAAAAAAATGGGTGGGTGAAAAAAAAATAATGGGTGAAAGAAAAAAAATGGGTGGGAGGAAAATATATATTTCTAAGTTTTTTGCGTTCTCTCGCAAAGTTTTGCGTTCCCTCGCAAAGATGTTTTGCGTTCCCTCGCAAAGATGTTTTTACATTACTGTGTGTATGCTACCTATGAACCAGTGAATGCATGTATAAGCGCTGACTGACAGATGCGCTTCGTACAATAAACTGATCCCAGATCAGCGTCTGTACACGCCATTTACAGAGGAGCGGGTGTATGTTTAAACAGACAAATACACTGAATAATATGGAACATCTCCGTCCTGCATGTTTTATTTTAAACAGCTTATTTTCTCTTAAATGAGCACAAACATGTGAATACTGGCACGGCCTGGCGTCCGGTCTTCTTGTGCACTCCCTGGGGCGAGGCGGCCTTTGAGCCCTAGGCAGGGAGCAAACAACCCCCGAGGACCCTCAGGGAAACACGGGGGGCCGGTAGTGGGACCTCGCTGCGAGGGTCATGGTGGGTGGGAGTAGCGAGGCCCACTCATCTTCTATTTTAAACTATAGTTTCAAACTTTAGTTTACTATAGTTTGAAATAGAAACCATGCAACTGTTATGATTTAACTTTATGCAAAGAGCTTAGAATCACCAAGAGCAACAGACCCGGATTCCGCCATTTTGAAGTGATAACGATCGCTCCACGATGGAAAGCAGCTGCTTTGTTTTTAATTTATTCAAAAAGCGCGTTATTTTCCCAAATTGTAGAGTGTCGCCTCTTGGTAATTCTATGCTCTTTGCTCTATGTCTGACTGTTGTAATGTTTTGCTTTGTTTTTCAGCTGAGTTGTTGAGCAAAGAAGGACTATTGAAGACAACAGTTCAAGACAACCGTGGGTTATATTCACGAGCGCGCACATTATAATGTTTCCGGGCTCTTTTTTGAAAGTGTGTCTTGTTTAGATAAATTTGCATGTCAAACTAAATAAACTATACTCTTTCTAAACACCTGTCTCGTGTTTTATTTGTCCTCTACAGCAATGCACTGTCATATAAGTCTGTTGAATGCATTTGTATGCAACATGGTTTGACAATACAGTTGTCTAACAAATAAATAGTTGTTATAAATGTACCCTTATTAGTCAACATTTGGTGTTATGTTATGGTTGTTTCATAACTATATTTATTATGTTTAAAACCAGCATATACTATATATTTAACATGTCATAAACTTACTGTTATTTTAAAATTTGCCAAATAAAATGTCCTAAGACAAGAATAGGTGTTGTTTTGGTTTTATGTCAACCTACTGTAGGTTTTAGGTTGACTACAGCAGGTATAGGCTACATACATCATAGGGAGTTTTCTTTAATGACCCAAGTAAAACGTCTCTTACTCAAGTACTTTTAGCATGCAAATTTAAGTTTATAAAATACAGTTTCCATCAAAAAAATTTTGTCTTGTGAAAAAGACCAGTGTGGTGGTAAGAAAAAAGTAATGTCAAGTTATATATATTTATAAAATAAGTTGATTAAGTTGTCATAATATTTAGTCATTAGATTATGTGACCGCTAGATGGCGTTCATTTGAAAGGAGCGTTCATTTCAAAGGAGCGTTACCCTGTACTAAAATGGCGGCTCTATTGACGCATTCCTTCAATTTGCAATTCCTTCATTCGCAACATCAGGGTAGGCGACATCTAATGTATATAGCTATGTGCGCTAACTAGTATTCCCGTCGTATCATGCTCAACTCTTAATACTCTATTTCGCACTTTGAAAATCTTTGCGTGTTTTCAGAGAGATATTTAAGCACATATGAAGTAACAGTGGCGTCTCTACCATTGAGTTACACAATGCAGCTTTTAGCTCGCTCGTAAACATCACTGCTGTCCTCAGATCATTGTCTGAGCAGAAGTTTCATCATTAACCCTGACTGTCAGATGCTCTTCATCTCAGGAGCTGTATTTTTAGATGCTTTATAACAGATAGGCTATAAGGTGAGTTATGGCTGGAGTGGACGCTGTCAGACGGGCTTTCATTCATTTTGACATGGCAGGAGAGAACAAGATACTAATGAGTGACAGAGAGAGTCCACAAAAACTGCTCTCCGGTTGCATTTCATTTGATGAAAATTATCTTTTAGAGCTTCCAGTCGTGCCAGGTTTTTCCCTCAGGTGTTTCTCGTCAGATTTGTCGTAGAAAGGTGAGAAATGTTTGAGTTTAAGACATATACTTAAATTAATATAAGCTATGAGATGAAGTTAAAGATATTTGTGCAATGCATTTATTCATAAATTATATTTATAAATAAATACATTTATTTATAAATTATTATTTGGCATCTGCTTCCATCTTGTGGCAGCAAAGGGAAGTTTTAAAAGGCACACGTTTTATTCATTCTGAAAGTTCTTTACCTGATGAATCACTGACTCGTTCATAATGCAGACCGTTATTATTTTAATCGTATATATGTATGTATAAATGTAAATGCATGTTTAAATATTAAATTAAATTATTATTTTTAATTGTAAAATTTGAATGTTTTTTCGGTTTATTTTTATAAATATAAGTTCTATGAATATACATTTATATAATATAATTACACATATTATAAATTCTTTTAATATTTCTATATAGCTTTATTTAGTTAGTTTTAGTATTTATTTATATATGTGTAGGTCTATATTTTTTAATATAATATAGTTTTTAAAATTTTTGTAATTTTATAATTAAATAACATAGCTAACTTTTTTGTTATATATTTTTTTACATTTAATTTTTATTTTGTATATTTTTTTTAGTTGTCACTTTTAACAGGTAATATTTCATCTACTACTTATATTTTAATAATAGTTTTCATACCTGTGAGATGTCATCATTTTTCTCACAGTAGACTGGACCAGCTGATTCGAATGTTATCGATTGAATGGGCGTTATCAGTGGTTATCAGCTAATAGATATGGGCAATTAGGTGCCTTCTGCACCTACTGGTAGGCTCAGAAGGCTGTTATCATCCATCCACATGGTTATTCAGCTATAGATCACAATCGACTGCAGCCGGAAGTTAACGAAAATCTTTATATTATTTATTAAATTTCCCAATAATAATATTTTATTAATGCCTACCCCTACCTTAACCGTCACAGTAATGTAAAAACAGATCTGGAGTCTTCTCTATTAGTATAGCTGATTAACAATGTGAATGGATGATAACAGCCTTCTGAGTGACATTTACTGCTCGGAAGGCCCCTACTCGCCCATATCTATCAGCTGATAACCACTGATAAAGCTGATTGAAGCAGCTGACTGGACATGGTCAAACGACATTATTGGACCTCACTAACCAGCCAAACGTGGGGTCCCATATGTGACATGACACTAGACTTTTAGGTATTTTAGAGATGTGTAATAAATGAATGTATGATGTAGTTTTATGTGTCTTAGGCAGCGAGAAGAGGCTGAATCCAAAGCCCGAGAAGAAGCAGAGAAACAGAGGATCGAACCAGAGAAACACTTCCAGAAGGAGGAGCTGGAACGCTTGGAAAGAAAGAAGGTAAAATAAAAGTCTACCAATCAAGCTAAACACAGCATCACGCTCTCTCATTCACACACACTCATACGGGTGCTCGCTCACTCGGGAGCGATATTGTTAGACCGCCCGCTCCCGTTTAAATTACACCAGTTACCGACCGCTCCCATGCTTTATTCGTAAATTTATTCCCACGCCGCACAAAATCTGGTACAGCCTCGGGAATGCAGACCTCTAATCTGGCATTACGGTGGCTCAGTGGTTAGCACTGTCGCCTCAAAGAAAGAAGGTCGCTGGTTCGAGTCCTGGCTGGGTCAGTTGGCATTTCTGTGTGGAGTTTGCATGTTCTTAGTGTGTGTGAATGAGTGTCTATGGATGTTTCCCAGTACTGCTTTGCAGCTGGAAGGGCATCCACTGTGTAAAACATATGCTGGATAAGTTGGCGGTTCATTCTGTTGTGGTTACCTCTGATAAATAAAGGGACTAAACTGAAGGAAAATGAATGAATATATTTTTAAAAAATTGTTAAATATAGCACTTGGGAAATATTTTTAAACGATTTAAAACTCACAGGAGGGTTTAAAATTTTGTCTTCAATTGTATTTGAGATTTTACTTCAGTACTGTTGGTTTAACGCTTGTGTTTACATTTTTAGCGTCTGGAAGAAATCGTGAAGAGGACTCGTAAGAGTGACGCAGGAGCACAGGTGAGATGTGTGTGTGTGTTTCTTTAAGCCTAAATTCATCTTAAACACACTCAATGAAATAAAATTAACCTAGTTTATTCATTTCTTTGCAGAAAGATGTTAAAACTCCAACTCAAATGAATGGCAGAGTCACTGACAGCGGTAAAAATATATTTATACTGTGAATATAGAAAAATCACTCTTTTATTAATATCATGTAAGTAGGGTTAAAATGAAAAATAAAAATCAATGTTGTTTTTCTCTCTTCTTGCAGTAATCCAGAAAAATCAGTCAGAAGCTCTTCATAGTAGTGCGACAAACCAATCACCAATGAAGTAATCGAGACGCTGCATAAATTGAAATTGAAATAATGTTGCATGAAATATGTTTTGCTTATTTTCCCGCTTGTGTGTGGAGTTTGCATCTTCTACTCGTGTTGGTGTGGGTTTCCTCTGGGTGCTCCGGTTTCCCCCACAGTCCAAACACATGCACTATAGGGGAATTGATGAACTAAACTGGCTGTAGTGTAAGTGTGTGTGTAAACAGAACAGTTGGCAGTTCATTCCACTGAGGCGACCTCTGAAATAGAGACTAAGCTAAAGGAAAATGAATGAATTAAAATTTATTTCATTAGAATGAAATTCTGTAGATAGTATAGTACACACACACAAATATTTTCTAAAATCATCTGTTGTGTGTTGTCTTTTGGACCCGACTCATAGCTAAGAATTGGGTTTATTAGGTAAAAACTCCCTGACTTCATTCCTCCTTTCTGTTTCATACAAAGAAAAATCTATCAGGAGCTATGCTTAGTCAAAATAAGATCATAGTCATATTATTTAACTTTGGTTTTGGCCGACACCTACCCTGTCATAAAGTGCACCCCTTCTGAAATGTGAATCTATTAACTTAAATTGATATTTTTTTAATACCAGCATTATGAGAGTGAACCAATGGGAATTCCCTTACAGAAGATTACAGAATTCTTTTTTTTACATTTATTTGTAAACCTAGTGCGTTTTAAAATGCGTTTCACTTGTTGTTTTTGCTTTATCCATCAAGATAATCATATTACGTTTTAATCAATTATGGCCTACATTGGTTTTTATGTAGACTGTAGCACAAGGTATGAGCGGCACGTGAGCAGCGCATATTTTTTTCCACATTCATGTTCACAACTGGGATTTATATCCGGAGAGGGACCGCGAGCAGCGCGTAGGATTTCTGCGCGCATGCGTCAGTTTGTTTTTGATTACATTGCTTTCACCAGTGTTGGTTCGGTTCCACAAAAAGAATAACATCTTTATATAATGATAAACGTATTTAAAACCGTCTTTATTATAACGGAATGAATATTTCACGGAGATGATTTTACTGCGTGAGAAAAGTGATGTGTGGTGTGAGAGCGTGAGAATACCGTCAATTGCGAGTTGGCAAACCTGGTACCAAGTTACCCCTTTTCTCTGTAGACTATTATTTTGTCTTTCCCTCAGAGCATTTTTAAACTTTTGAGGATCTTTCTTTTTTCCAAGCTTTTCTGTCCCGATACTACATCAGGTGCATATTTAGAGTTTATTATTATTATCAGTGGCGCAAAAAGGGGGTATGCAGTATATGCGGCGCATAGGGGCGCCACACATGGGGGACTCCATTGTGCCAAAACTATTTTTGAAATTATCCATATTAAAAGTTTCAAATAATATATACACACACACACACACACACACACACACACACACACACACACACACACACACACACACACACACACACACACACATATATATATATATATATATATATATATATATATATATATTTGTAGAAATGTTTATTTAGCATTTTATACGCGTATAATATTGTATTTTATTAAATTAAAAAATCATTCCACCCCCCCACCCCCATTTTTCATACCATATACATGTTTTTATGAATTTATTATGTATCATATTGATTCATCAGACCTTTTGGTAACTTCTTAGCTCAAAACTATTTTAATTTTAGCTACAAACAAAGTTATAACATTTCAGTTAAATAGAACATTTGTTTGTTTCTGTTTTTTTTTTTTACACTAAACATTTGACAGTCTTTTTTATTTAACTTTTAGCAGTTTCAGTCAATTGTTCTTGCAAATACAGACCTTACACTTCTTAAAGTATGCATGTAAGAAGTAATTGCAATGTTCTTTTGCCCTTTAGGACTCCCATGTCTATCATTTTGTTTTGACAAATGTAGTACAAAAAGTCCAAAAGCAAGGCTAGTCAAGGTGATATAATCATTTAGGGAGAGAAAATTAAATTGAGAAGAAATTTGGGGTGGTATGAGATGCTTTTTTTTTGCGACTTAACATGCTTAATGTAATTATACCTTTTACTACTTCATACTATTTCAGTTGTGTTCAGAACTGCGAAACTGTATTTTTTGAAGCATATTGATATCTTTATGAAAAAATATCTTTAATTTATTGATGGAAATATTTTCCACATTTTATCACTTGCCTGTTATAAAATATAGTTGGATTGAAGGGGGGCGCGCAAAAGTTGAAGCCGCATACCCATCAGTAAATGTGCAGTTGCGCCCCTGATTATTATACATACATCCAGCACTCACAACATTCTTATTTTGACTCAATCATTAGGGTCACAAGATTTATATCTTATGTAGTGTCTGTTAGTGTGCGCATGTGTTTGTCTTGGTGTTTGTGAGTGTGTGTCAGTAGATAACCGTGTGCAAGGTGTTGTTCTTCTACAACAATTTCCCCCTTCGATAGTTTTTGTGTGACTTGTTTACTGTACACCTTCTAACCCCATCAGAAGTTTCTCATCTCAACAGGAAGTGGTTAGCACAAGCTCTGTTCTTATGAAGACGCCCACTTCCTCTGACTTTGATAAACACATCTGTGGTTTTGTGCACTGAAACCCCATCAGATAATTTTTTAAACTGCTGCTAAACCAAATGCCCCAAATTACAGATCGATTTCTGGCCAGTTTGCAATGAAGATTTGATCCAGTATTTTAAAAATGTTTGGATTGAATTTTTAGTTTAAAATGATGAACTAACTTGAGTAACAAGACTGATCTGTTGTATCTAATTGGCCTGATTTTTTTTCTGTGCTCTGTTTATTAAACAAATTTGTAACAATAAAGTCATTGGAAAGAATTGGAGCAGACATATTTAAAAGATTTATAAAAGAAAAGAAATCGCAGAGGTTGCAGAAAAAAACTATAAGATAAGAGATAAGTTATATTGATTACATATTATTTATTTTATTTACATTATGTTTTCAGCGTATTCTAACAGCTTGTCACCCAGTGATTAGCACAGTTATTCGGCAAAATTAACGTTTAAGTGAGCGGCGTTCATCTGACAGGTCCATTTGTGATAGTACCGTCCCAATGTATATTGGATAAGACGAAATTGCCAAGCATCCAGCCCAAAATATACAACTATCTCATTGAAGCTCCAAGTGTTTTAACAAGAGAGAAGTTAAAGGCCTACAAGCCTTTGGATACCAACAATTTTGTTCTGTGTGGTCATGTGCAAGAAATAATGTTCCATGATTATTACAGATTCAAAACTATGTTGTGCTAAAAACCGAGGCTCTGCCTAGCCAAAGACAAGGAAAGAAGACTGAACTGTACAAGGCCTGGGTAATCATCAACAAGCAAAACAACTGCATTCTGACTGCATATGTACGGCAGAGTATGTGAACGTCCATTTTTACATTTCATTCTAAGCATTCAGTGTCTGCAGTTTAACTATGTTTAACTGTTTTTGCTAAATTATGATGAATTTAACAGAGCAAGACAAATTTTCCAGTATGTCTGATAATATTTTTTTTTCCTCTGGAGAAAGTCTTATTTGTTTTATTTCAGCTACAATAAAAGCAGTTTTTAATTTTTAAATAACAGGTCAAAATTGTTAGCCCCTTTAGGCTATATTTTTTTTCAATAGTTTACAGGTCAGCAATAGTCATCATGGCAAAGATAAAATAAATCTGTTATTAGAGATGAGTTATTAAAACTGTTATGTTTAGAAATGTGTTGAAAAAATCATCTCTGTTAAACAGAAATTGGGGAAATTAAACAGAGGGGCTAATAATTCTGACTTTAACTGTATATGAAGAGTTCAGATGCAAAAACCTCTAAATGCCTCTTAAATTTTTCTTCTAAAATTAGCTATTTCTATTCAGGCGTATATGTGTAGGTTCAGTAATATCACATGTATGGCAAATAATATGCCCTTTTTCAAGTGAAATAACTGAACATAAACAAATGAGGCTGAGAAAAATGTTCATTTTTAATGGAAATATTAGATGGTACGGCATCTGAACTCCTCATATACTGCATATTGTGCAGTTTTTGTTTGCATAATAGCAACCTAAAGTGTCAGCATTTTTTTGTCTTAAACATAACATGATAAAAATTTTGACAAACTACTATTTTATTTTACTTTATTTTATTGACCAAAACAAAAATACAAAAAAAAACAAAATAAGAAAAAACATTTAGTTTCAAATGATTGACTAAAATGACACAAAATATAAACAATAAAAGGAAAACTATGGGCGGCACACTAGCTCAGTGGTTAGCATAGTCACCTCACAACAAGAAGGTCGCTGGTTTAGCTCCGCTGGATCAGTTGGCATTTCTGTGTGAAGTTTGCATGTTCTCCCCGTGTTGGGATGGGTTTCCTCTGGATGCTCTTGTTTTCCTCACAGTCCAAAGACATGTGCTATAGGTGAGTTGATTAAACAAAATTGGCCGTAGTGTATGAGTGTGTATGTGAGAGTCAATGGGTGGCTCCCAATGCTGGGTTGAGGGCATCCACTGTGCAAAACATATGCTGGATACGTTGGCTGTTCATTCCTCTGTGGCGATCCCTGATGAATAAAGAAACTAAGCAAAAGGAAAATTAAGAATTAATGAAAAGAAAAAAAAATGTTTAAAACTTTAATACTAAAATGAAAAGTAAAAAAAATATTGCTCAAATAATTAATTAAAATTACACTAATATCTCAATTAAACAAAAGTAACACTGGTTTGAAGACACTTTATGTCAAGTCAAGTGTTAGTTGTCTAAAATATTTTGTGTTTCAGTCATCATCTTCCCTGAGGCACACAAGATTATTCATTCTACAACTATCAGATTTAATGGTGAGAGAAGGCAGAAACTGTTGAGTAAAAATGAGAGTCGTGACAGGATAATCATCCTCGGTCTGAACACTTATACTGAAGAACAGGTGAACACAGTTATATAATTGTGAAACTGTGAATGAAAACTTTAAAACTTTTTGACACCAGTTACTTATACATATCAAAACTTTGAAACTGTTGAGTCTCTTCTAAAACTGAAAAGAAAATGTAAACTGCTTTACGTTGAAACTGTGTAGCCACAAAACTAGCCACAAAACTAGCCACAATCCTGACATGTTTTAACAATGCATAGTTAGTATCTC